ATAGAAATCGTAGTGACTCCCGCACTACAACCTCATCTGCATCCACGCCATCCCCTAAGTCTATTCTAGGTCCTCCTCCCTCTAATACTACCCCTGCATCGGATAGCAAAGGTAGAGGTTCTGAGGTTTCAAGGACATCCTCCCATTTGCAATGCTTCAACTGTAAGGGTTTTGGTCACATTACTTCTAAGTGCCCTAGTCGAGCCCTAGTTCTGGACGAACGTGAGGATATAGTCGTCGAACCACTAGAGGATCAGGTTTATGAGCCTAAGTTAGAAGAGTTTGAAGACTTGGAGGACAGTGAGGATACCTTCTTAGGTTGTATTCAGGCTAGTCCCATTATCCCACATACACCCAGAGTCGGTGTCGTCCGTTGCACCCTCACCCAGCCTAAGGATGCCGACGATTGGCGCCGTCATGCCATCTTCCACACTTACATCAAGATTAGTAACAAGGGCTGTAAAGTTATCGTGGATAGTGGCAGTTGTATTAATACGGTTTCGAAGGCTACTATATCCCGTCTAGGGTTGAAGCCAGTTCCTCACCCCCAACCTTATAGTGTCTCTTGGGTTGACACCTCCTCTATAGCTGTTAAGGAGCGTTGTTTAGTCCCTATCCAGTTCCTGGAATATAAGGACCATATATGGTGTGACGTTATTTCGATGGACGTCGGACACATCATCTTAGGACGACCTTGGCTATTTGACCTAGATGTAACCATATATGGTCGATCCAATTCCTGCTCCTTCGTGTTTAATGGAAAGAAGATTCACCTTAACCCACTACCCCCAAAGCTAGCTGGCTCACTAGAAGCGAAGAAAAGTGTGGAACAAAAGGGGTTGCATATCATTAGTCCTACAGAGTTTGAGCGTACAATTGTTGGTGACTCAATTGTGTTCGCCTTAGTAGTCATGGAGGTTTCATCTAACTCCACAAGTGAGGATACTGCGGAAGTCCAATCGATCCTTCAAGAGTTTCAAGATGTCTTTCCGGAGGACCTACCTGATCATCTACCTCCGCTAAGAGATATTCAGCATGCCATAGATTTCGTCCCCGACGCATCCCTTCCAAATTTGCCACATTATAGTATGAATCCTACCGAGCACGCTGAGCTCCAAAGGCAAGTGGATGACCTTCTCAACAAAGAATTCATTCGTGAGAGTTTAAGCCCATGTGCTGTCCCCGCCCTATTGACGCCCAAAAAGGATGGATCTTGGAGAATGTGTATGGATAGTCGCGCTATCAATAAGATCACGGCGAAGTATCGTTTTCCCATTCCCAAGCTTGATGATATGCTGGATATGATGGTTGGCGCGACAATTTTTTTAAAGATCGATCTAAAGAGTGGGTACCATCAAATTAGAATTCGCCCAGGGGATGAGTGGAAGACCGCGTTTAAGATGAAAGATGGCCTTTATGAATGGCTGGTCATGCCTTTTGGGCTAAGTAATGCGCCGAGTACCTTCATGCGGGTAATGACACAAACTCTTCGGCCGTTCATAGGTGAATTTCTCGTTGTCTACTTTGATGATATCCTCATCTATAGTAAAACTAAGGAGCAACACCGTGACCACCTCAAATAAGTTTGCTCTACCCTTCGCGAGACTAACCTGTATGCTAATGTCAAGAAATGTTCCTTTTTCACCGATAGCGTAGTTTTTCTGGGGTTCATTGTCTCGTCGACAGGGGTGTCTGCTGACCCTACTAAGATTCAGGCGATAAATGACTGGCCTGAGCCTAAGGCCATTCATGATGTCAGGAGCTTTCACAACTTAGCTACGTTTTACCACCGTTTTACTAAAGGGTTTAGCACTATTATGGCGCCTATCACAGAGTGCATGAAGAAAGGGGAGTTTCATTGGACACGAGGGGCGGCGAAGGCCTTTAAGTTAGTCAAGGAGCGAATGACAGAAGCTCCTATCATGCGTCTTCCCCATTTTTCCAAAGTCTTTGAAGTTGAATGTGACGCTTCTGGGGTAGGCATAGGCGGAGTCTTAAGTCAGGATCGTCACCCTGTCGCCTATTTCAGTGAAAAGTTAAATGAGGCCAAACGACGATATTCAACGTATGATAAGGAACTGTATGCGGTGGTCCAGGCTTTACGCTATTGGCGCCACTACTTGTTGCCCCAGGAATTTGTCCTTTATTCGGACCACGAAGCCCTCCGTTACCTCAACTCTCAGAAGAGATTAAGTTCTAGGCATGGACGTTGGATTGAATATTTGCAGGCCTATTCATTTGTTTTAAAACACAAGAAGGGCGTGGAGAACCAAGCAGCTGACGCGTTAAGTCGTCGTGCCTCCCTTTTGTCGATCATGAGTGTCAAAGTCATCGGTTTTGAAAGGCTTAAGGAGGATTACGAGACATGCCCAGATTTTAAGGATATCTTTCTCGATTTACAAGGAGGACAATCAAACAGCACAGGTGACTTTCGACTTGAGAAGGGTTATCTCTTTCGAACCAATAAATTGTGCATCCCTCGAACTTCAGTACGAGATTTCATCGTGTGGAAAATTCATGCGGGAGGGTTAGCCGGTCACTTTGG